CCAGAGATATTCTAAAATATAACGATACTTACGTGGAACCAGTGTGGTAATGGGAATACAGATATTGTAGTAAGAAAGATGTGGGAATATTCAAAGAGGCAGTAACAAACAGAATTTTCGAGACAAAAAGGAGTTTACATCAGACATGTTGAATCAATAGTCCTCCGTCACAAAGATCAGTAACAAGAGTAGCATCAGCCCGTTAAGCAGAGCGAGGCTGGTATCCTTTCAGAGCTGTCTTAGCTAGGATTTCATTGCTCTGAAGAGACATCATGACCACAACAACTCTTATAAAAGAAAACATTTCCTTGAGGCTGGCGTGCAGTGCAAAGTTTTAGTTCGTTATCACCATGGCAGGAACCATGGCAGCATACAGGTGGACATGGTGCTGGGGAAGGAGCTGAGAGTTCTACATCTTGATCCAGAGGCTGCCGAAGGAGATTGAGTATCTCACTGTAGCTCGAGCATCTATAACCTCAAAGCCCACCTCCATGGTGACATGCTTTCTCTAACAAGGCCACACCTCCTAATAGTGCTACTCCCCATGGGCCAAGCATTCAAACACATGAGTCTATGAGGGCCATACCTATTCAAACCACCAGAACACTCTCTATAAGGTTTCCGTGGCCTTTGCCTGAGGTCTACTAGAGTTCATGGTGACAGGCATGGAGCAGGGTGTCTGTACTGGCAACCCTGGGGGTTTCCTGTTCAGAAGGGGGTTAGTGCATCATTTGGGGCTGCTGAGTTTTGGGTCATCCACTTTTGCAATCAGGCAATCATGTGTAAGACCCCTGTCTCACAAGCTACCAGCTTTACTGTATTATCTTTGTAGGGCTGACACAAGGGACTCCATCTTTGTCCGGCTGGCTTTCTTCCACATTGCTAATGCAGAGGTTTAATAACTTTCTCTCTAAATAAACTCACCCCTGACATCACTCAAGATCACTCCCCTGTTCTTCTTGAGCTTTGACTGTTTTATCTCTAATTCTGGGACTGAGGTACAGGTGAGGGCTATGGGGTACAGAGAAGCACCCTGCTTTCCACAAGAAACGTCTTCTTTGCTGGAGGACTATGTATTTGGTGTTGCATTATGGTCCTGTTGAGATGATCTTGAGCAAATATCTTCTTTAGGGGAAAAAAAACAGAAAGTAGCCCTGGTGAAAACTTGCTGAGTGTTCAGGTTTCCACTCATTTTTCAACTGTATTACATGTTTATTCATTTCATGTGTATAACACTATTCTATCTATTCATATGAGTGAGTGTGTGCATGCCACAGCATGCTCGTGGAAGTCGGGGAATAATTTACAGGAGCCAACTCTTTTTTCATCAGGTAGGTCCTAAGGATCAAAAGCAGGTCATCAGGCTTAACAGCAGGCACACTTAACCACTATCCATCTCACCAGAGCCCGGTCAAATATTTAAAGAATATGGAAGCTTGCAGAGGACCCGGGTTCAGTTCTCAATGTCCCTACACACACATGGTGGCTCACAGCCATCTATTAACTCCAGTTCCAGGAGATCGATATCCTCTTTCTGATCATCCCCAGCACAAGGTGTACATACATGCATGCAGCCAAACACTCCATATACATGAACTAAAAATAAGCCTTTAAAAAAAAATACGGCTGGACAGATGGCTCAGCTGTTAAGAGCACTGGCTGCTCTTCCAGAGGTCCTAAGCTCAATTCCCAGCAACCACATGGTGGCTCACAACCATCTATAATGAGATCTGGTGCCCCCGTCTGTCATAGAGGTATACATGCAAATAGAATAGTCGTACATATAAATAAGTAAATCTTTAATAAATAAATATCAGTATACTTTCTGGAACCGGGTTTACAAAGGTGAGCAAGGGAAGGAACTTTCCAGTACTCTCCTCGTAGGAAAAAAGACACAGAAAGATTAAGCACCAGCCTTTATTTAGTTCAACAAAGAAATGAAAAAGCAGATGACCCAAACCTCAGCAGCCCCAAATGATGCACTTTCTCCTTCTGAGCAAGAAACCCTCAGGGTCTCCAGTGCAGAGACCCTGCCCCGTGCCTGTTCTGTAGCCCCAAGCTGCATCCCTCTCAGGGAGAGCTAGGGTTATGCCTACACTTACAAACTGACAGGAAGGCCTTCAGGAGCCCTGTGATTCAAGCTGTTAGTTCTCAAGACGTAGACAGGTTAGTAAAATAGAGCAGACTATGTATCTGTCATGTTTCCCCAAAAGCAACTTCTGGCCTGTCCACAAAGGGCCACAAGTTTCCTGAGGTCAGAAGACATTGTTTCTACAGCTGCAGATCAAATGGAAGATGAACTTCTCTCTGTCCCAGCAGTCTCCGGTCACTGCCTGTCAACCTGCTGCTGGAGAAGAAAAGAATGAGAAAATAACATTAGAATGGTGCTGGTGGTAGGGGAAGAAAGAAGAAAAGGATGGAGCCACCAGCCGTTATTTCCTGAAAAAAAAAAAAAAAAACCCTGTGCGTGCACCAATTTCTAAGGTTTTGTTTATTTATGTATATGTGTACCTGCACAGTGTACAGATGGGTATGGATGCAGCTGTGCCAGGAGGCCAGAAGAGGGCATCAGATTCTCCTGAGGCTGGAGTTAAAGAGCTGCCTGACACAAGTGCTGGGACTTGAACTCAAGCCCTCTGGAAGAGGAGCAAGCACTCTTGGCCACCGAGCCATCTCCAACTTTTGGGGGCCTCAGGACAACAAAAGGAGGGGCTCTCATTTAGCTGCATCTTACAGGAGAAACAGAAAGTAGCCAGAGTAGACTCGGGATCTGCAAGCTGTTGACTCTAAATTCCAGGCTGGGCCAGACCACCAGGGCCAGAGTCTGAGCCCCTAACCACTTCACAATTCTGTTTCCATTTTTTGTTATTGTTATTTTAGTTTGCGTGTGCATGGCGGGGGAGGGGGCGTGCGCATACCACAGTGCACATGCAGAAATCGGAACGCAAGAGCACAGCTCAGGGGAAATGGTCCTCTCCTGCGATTCAGGTCTTAGTATTCAAACTTCGATCGTCAAGTGTAATGGCCAGTGTCTCAGTGGCAAGCGTCTTTGCCGGCTGAGCCATCTCACCTGCCCCCACCATTCTGTTTTCTAGAAGAAACCAAGTAAGAGGGTTTGTTTTTTGTGATGGAAGACAAGGCCCTTGACACAGGAGGAAATGGCAGCCTAAAAGTCAGGAGCACATCTGTATGTAACCATCCTGACAGAAACAAACATTCTGAGGAGACACTCATGGGGATGAAGATACAACTTGGTTTTTAGAGTGCTGCCCAGCATGCATGAAGCCCTGTATTTGGTCTCCAGCCCTGCATAAAACCAGTGTCAGGGGCTGTGGGAAGAAGGATCAGAAGTTCAAGGGCATCCTAGTGTATATACAAGTTCTTGTAAGAGTGGGGAGGGCTGCCCCTCCCTTTGGTTATCAGGCTATGAAGACAATAAACCACTAGAAATTGGAGGTTCTCTAGGAGTTCCATGATGGGAGCAGGAAGACTGAGGCCTAGGGTCTGCGGGAGAAGGAACTGTCTTCTCCAAAGAAATCAAAACGCTCTGTCAACTTGTCACCTCGTGACAATGATGGTTGACAGACGACACGCTTTGGCCAGGGCTGCTTAGTGGTGCATGCCTCTGGTCCTCTATTTAAACCTAAACCCCAAGTCAGGACCCTGGGAAAAAAAAGTAGATACACGGCATACTGGACCTCTGTTCCTCTTCCCAGTGTGGTCCCATGGAATAAGCCTCATTTCTCTAATTCTCCCCATTAACTGTGTCTTTGACTGGCCTATTGCAAACAAGCAGCTGAAGTAGAGATTAGGGGCAGAGCACGCCTTTAATCCCAGCACTCAGGAGGCAGAGACAGGTGGATCTCTGTGAGCTTGAGGCCAGCCTGGTCTACAGAGTAAGTTCTAGGACAGCCAAAGCATAGAGAGAAAAAAAAAAAAAACCCGTCTTGAGAAAACCGAAAGAGAAAGAGAGAGATAGAGAGAGAGAGAAAGGAAGGAAGGAAGGAAGAAAACAAGCAGCTGAACCTAGCTTGTGGGAGCTTCCAAGGCCCACACTCTTAACATAACAACTCTGTTAACACCAGGCACGCCAGAGGAGCCGACCCAGCACAGGGCTCTGGGGCCAGAAAGTGCAGAGGAGGGAAGTCAGCCCACCTTTCCCCTCCAGAGTAGAACCCCTCTTCTACACTGAGAGCATCTTCTCACTGCGAGACTGCCTCTCAGGGGCACCTTGAACAGGACCAAGCAACAGTCTGCATAAAGCTTGCAGGACTGGGAGCTGTCAGAGGTGGCCATGCCAACCCTTTCTGTGCCTGGGTTAGGAGCTCCATAATGCCCAGGGAGTGTCTCTGTGCCATTACAATAGCTAATCCCAGCACTCAGGGAGGCAGAGCTCTATCAGTTCAAGGACAGCCTGATCTGCACAGATCCAGGACAGCCAGGGCTGCACAGAAAAACCGTATCTCAAAAAACAAAAACAAAAAACAAACAAACAAACAAAAAAAAAAAAAAAAACCTTTGGGTTCCAGGCCCTCTGAAGCTAAAAAAGCAAAACAAAAACAAAAAATCAAGCAAACAAACAAACAAAAACCTGCAGAGACGGGGCTAGAGAAACAGCTGAGCAGCACTAGCTGCTCTTTTAGAGAACTCAAGTTTCAATTCCCAGCTTCTACATGGTGGCTCACAACTGGCAGTATCGGCAGTCGCAGGCGATCTGATGCCCTCTTCTGGCCTCTGTAGGAATTACATGCATGTGATACACAGATCTTTCCTGGATGCAAAAAGGGCACCACCCTCTCCCCATCTGGGATCTCTTGGTGACCAGTAGGCTCCCCTGTGTTCCCCCTTGCCTGGCTCCCTTGCCACCTCCTAAATAAGAAGCAAATGACACTCAAGCCCCTCGGTACGCTGCCCCAGAAAGTCCCCCCACCAACACACGCTTCCCAGAGTCTCCCTTTACAACAGAACCCCTGGGACATACCGAGCTGGCCCCGGGTCCTTTACACAGGGTGGACGATGTTCCTGTCGCAGTGGGGTTTGCAGTGGGGATTCAGCCAGTGTTCCAGAAACTGCTCCTCGGCACGGTGCTCCAGGGCCAGGAGGTGGTGTACATACTCCTGGAGAGACAAACCCATAGCAACGAGAGGAGGCTCCTGGAACTCACCTTGTAGACCAGGAGGGCCTGGAGCTCACAGGGCTCGGTCTGCCTCTGCCTCCCAAGTGCTGGCATCACAATTAAGCCCCCTGCTTGCTCTTTCTTCTTACCCTCAGTATTTCACACAGCCCGGTGGGAAACCAGCCAGCAAGGAAGCCAGACAGCCTGCAGGGGGTCAGCCGCACTCTGAAAGAACTCTGGGTGCTATAACTCTGAGATGTGAATGATTGCCAAGTGTGTGTGAAATGGAACCACATAAGTGTGTTTAAGTAACTCTTAAACAGCAGGCTGTTAACCGGAAAAGTGGCACGTCGCCATGGGAGAGAGCGGACACATTCAGTAATTTAGTATGTGTGACTAGACAAAATCACTTTGGTATGTGTCTATATCAAAAACATATAACCTTTCCTGCAGCACTGAAAAGCCTCTAACAGAGGGCCCAGTTTGAACTTGAAGTTTTGATGCTTTTGAGAATGTCCTCTATGAACTCTATAGCCAGTACTAAACACAATCATTAAAAAGAACAAAGGGGGACTGAGTGTGATCACTCACACCTTTAGCTCCAGCACTCCTGAGGCAGAAGCAGGTAGATCTCTGAGTTCCAGGCCAGCCTTGTCTACAGAGTGAGTTCTAGGACAACCAAGTCTACAGGAAGAAAGGCTGTATAGAAGAGAGAGAGAGAAAGAAAGGAAAGAGAAAGAAAGAAAGAAAGAAAGAAAGAAAGAAAGAAAGAAAGAAAGA